CAGGTTTTTCCTGGCCTCCCTGATGTTCCAGCTGTAGTATGAGTGATGGTAATGCTCAAATATATGTCTTACGATCAACTTTTTAAAAAAAAAATAATAAAAAAAAAAAATTATATTTGCATATAACATGATTTTAATTAATTAATTATTTAAAGTGTGTCGAAAGAGAAATATAGACGATATGTCTTCGAAAAGCATAAAGATCATCTGTCTTCTATACGATTACAGTTGTGGTGGGAGTTGGGTTTTTTCGTCTATGGGGAATACACATGCTGTGTATTTGTGGGGATAGAGTGCTCCCAAAGGTCACCCTCAACCCCATAGACTCACACAAATCAATGTATTATACAGTGTATTGTAAAGTAAACAATGACCATCACGGGGATCTACTACCCCTTGGACATTAAAGTAAACAATGACCATCACGGGGATCTACTACCCCTTGGACATTAAAGTAAACAATGACCATCACGGGGATCTACTACCCCTTGGACATTAAAGTAAACAATGACCATCACGGGGATTTACTACCCCTTGGACATTAAAGTAAACAATGACCATCACGGGGATCTACTACCCCTTGGACATTAAAGTAAACAATGACCATCACGGGGATCTACTACCCCTTGGACATTTAGGATGCCCATCTCGGGGATCTACTACCCCTTGGGTAAAGTCCAACATGGGGGAACCACGACCCCCTGAGGACATATAATTATATCATAATCATATTGCTGTAATAGTGAGTCTGTGGGGCGACACTTTGGCCACAGTTTAAAGTATAATCGGAGCATTTCTCCTCGACAACCCTTCTCCCACAACATTGTGTGTGTCATAGTTGTTTTCTTAATTGTCATAGAATATTTGCTTAACGAATTGATGCATTAATTTACAAAATAAATGTTTATAATGAACGAAGGTGAAAGTTTTTGAAGAAGAATTAATTGGATGTTTATGCCGTTGAATGTCTTCGGCATAACCATTGGATGTTTATGCCGTTGACTGTCTTCGGCATAACCATTCAACTTGGAAGGTTATAGCCTGCGAACAGGCTCTTTGAATTGAATTAGAGCATGCCGGTTTAGTCAATAAAAATACGTCTGTGCCCATCACTATTTATAGTGTTGTCAATCAAATGTAAAATACAATCACAGAATAAGAAATGAACAGAAGGGCAACTCGAGTGTACAACGCGTCCTCGTTTTTTTGTGCGCATGCGTCAGGTCCGCCATTACTCTAACCTGAGTATCAGGCCCTTATGTAGTCTGCGTAGCAGGCGTTTAGCTGACGGGCGGGAACAACCTCGTACCCAGGGCTAGCCGCGAATTGAAGGCGGCGGCGTAGCCCTGGTAAACGCTGGTCACGTGACTCGAACATTACGTAATTGTTACTTTTCTGATCCGGGGGGGGGGGGGGGGAATTC